ATCCTTCTGGTCTATCCTTCTGGACGTAGACCCTGACCCCGCCTACACACAGGACTCTCCAGTGGGGGAGTAAGTACAATTCTGAGGTGCTCGAGTAATTCCATTTTATGCTACTTTATAGTTACTTTATACTACATTTATACTACACATTTTATTCCAAAGCTTACTTTACAAACCCAACAACTAATTGATAGATTATTGTACCCAGTAGTACTTAAAGTAGTTCAAATGAGCCCCTGTTGCACAGTGCTGTATAGTTATATCAAATACACACAATTTTTTATTTTAAGTAACCTTATAATTTTAATGTGATTTAATGTGTAACTTCAATTAGCCACCAAAAAAACTAGTTTTGATATCTCTATGACCCACAAGTGGAAACTGTATTACAACAATCCCTCTGAGATGTACTTTATCACAATTGTACTTCTGCTGTAATTACTACACATTGGGCTTGCAGACTTGCACTCATAATTGAATTGTATTTGTTGTTGGGTCATTTCAAACAGTAGGCTACTCGTTTAATGCAAATGTTCTTGCAGGAGAGAAACATAAAAAGACAAAAGGCAGATTGCAAAGGAAAGTAAGACTTCACTGTTCAGTCAAGAGTTGGAGTATTGAAGGAGAAAGAAGGGATTTATCTCATCTCACCTACATCCACTTTAATAATACCCTTCATCTGCCTTCACAGGTTATTAAAAAGAAATGTGAGCACGCTAGACAATGAATATAGCTTGGATTGTCTTTGTGTTGTATATTTTAAATAACATTTAAAAAGAAAAATTCAAATAATATGGCTAGTTTCTCTGTCCCTTTGTCTGCTTGCTACCGTTGGCCCCTACGCCCCCACCCTCACTCACTGCCTTGTCCCTGTTTTGAAGCAGATAATGAAATAAGTGAATAAACTATAAACAAGCAATAAAATGAGAGGGCAACAAAATAATAAGAATGATTATATAGATGTCCAACATTCTCTAGACCACCTTATACTAATACAAAAATAGTGATTACAAAAATTCCTGGATCTTATCTGTATACTTTTACTCTACACATTCGGGGGCTTTGCAGACTTGCATCTGCGATTAAATTGAACTGTATTTGGGTGTGGGTCATTTTTTAAAGTATATGTAGCGCTACGCTCGTTTAATGCAAGATGATGTTATCTTGGCTAGATGCGGGAGGAGAGAGCAGGAGAATACATAAAACAAGACTCAAACAGGGCAGATTGCAAAAAAGGATAGGCAGTAAACATAAGACTTTCACTGGCTTTCGCAAGTCAAGAGTGTTGGAGAAGTTAAGTATTGAAGGTGATGGAAGAAAAGAAGACTTTTGCTCATCTCACCGTACATCCACCTTTTAAATAATAGCCCTTATCTGGCTCCTGTTCACAGGTTCATTCTTTTAAAAGATAGAGGAGCATGTCTGAGCACGGCTGTTTAGGCAAGAATATAGCTTTGGATGTCTTCTCTGCTGTTGTATTTTTAATAACATTTTTTAAATATATTGAAAAAATTCAAATAATATGTGGTAGTTTCTCTGTTGGTTCCCTGTGTTGTCTGCTCTGCTAATCCGTTGGCCCCTACGCCCCTACCCTCCTCACTACACTGCCTTGTCCTGGGTTTTGAAGCCGCAGATACATGAAATTCAAGTGAACATAAGATATCTATAAATCAAGGCATAATAAAATGAGAGGGCCAACAAAATAAATAAGAATGATTATCATAGATGGCCACTCTCTCTCGTAGACCACCCCTTTTATACTAATACAAAAAAAGTATGAATTTACAAATTCCCTGGATCTATCTCTGACGGTTTTTGTTTTGCCCTATGGCTGTTGAATAGTGATCAGTCCGGGCACCCTCGGTGCTTCTTGCCATCCTGAAAGCTCCATGTTATTTTATTGTATTAATGGCAAATGTATGTGTTGAATCCATGGGGCTTGGGTAACTGTACTCGTGTGGAGGGTTTATTCCAGCGTAAAGCCAGCATCTTGTTTTTGGCAAGCTCTATTGATTGCAGGTTTATGGAGAATGACGGTACTTTTCCAGCATGTCAAATTTTAAGATGAGGTGGTATCGATTTAGGAGGTAAACACAATGGGGTAGAAATGGTACAACGACTCCAGTACATTAGATGTATAGGAGCGAGCAAACTAAACTGTAAATTATGAAGCCTTAATCAAAGCCCCATCTTGTGCACAGTTGCAAACTCGGTAGACTGGACAGAAGTTCATCTGCGAGGCAAAGTTTTTCTCCTTGGTGCTAGGTTGTGATCGGTAAGGTTCTGTGGATATAATGAACGATGGTATCTCGTTTCGGATGGGTGTCATTTTTGGGTTTTTGGATAGCGCAAGGACAATGTTGAGGGGTCCAAACTCTATCCCAGTTCGAATGAATCACGCTCGCGATTTGTAGTGCTCCTTTCCACTAGAACCACACACGTCAATGAAGGGTTTTATATAAGCAGGCATCCCGGGATAAGGTGAATTAAATTCGGGAATACCAGGAAAACCACGAAAGCCTCTTTTTTTGTCCTCCTCTGCACTTATTCTACAGAATGGATGGCAAGGCGTAGCAGGTTTTAAGAGTATATTCCATGGCACTCCATCTTATGCTTTGCATAGATGTGAACCGTAGTTTAGAAGAGTACCAGAAATACAAAAGATTGTTCCAGTCGTAAATTGGTTTAAGAGCAGTCTCTCAAATCATTAAACATCCACGAAGCCCATTCTCATTATATACATCGGCCCTAAGACACTGGATACCCGTAGAGCTCCAGTCCGAGGAGACTGAGAATTTGGGACCGCGCGCCCCCCAGGTGAGGTAGGGAATGTATTTAAAGGAAGAGTGGACTGATCTGGGCCGTGTGCCATTTGCATCGAATTTCTTAGACTCTTCTCAGCAATAACCCATTTGTTGACAAGTGGAAAACTCAGTTTATGGCGGCCAGAGTCGGCAGCTTAGCCCGTGTTCAAAGGGACAGCCGTGAAGGGGTAAAGGGGGAAAGGTAGTACACAGTAAGAAATCAGATTCTCCGTTGAGCGTGCGTTGTGTGTATTGGTAGTTTTGCTTAGTTGAGGGTTCTGTTTTCTATAGGTTGTTCCAACACGGGATCAGAATTGGGGGTTACAAGCCAGGCTGTGAGTGCGTCTCTCTCAATGACAAATGACCAAACAAATTAGTTGTATTTGAAGTTAGGCACGGAAAAGACCACCCTCTGTTTTATCTCGGTTGGAGTGTAGTTAACTTTACACGTGGCCGTTTCCTCCCCAAATGAAACTTGAGAAGCAGCCTCAAGT